TGACGTAAGCCCTCAGATTAATCCGGAGTACGTTATCAAAGACTTTCATTAAATTCTTATCCTTGACGCTAACAAACATACCCATTCCCGCGTTATTAACAAGTACATCTAATTTGCCAAATGTTTTGATGGTTTGATTCATTAGATTATTCAAGTCATCACTTTTGGTCACATCCGCCACAACAGCCAAAGGCTATAAATAAAATTAATTTTATGTAAAATTAAAAATTATTTCTAAACAAACCTTTAATTTTTTAGGCGATAATTCCTGGACTTCTTGTGCCACACGTTTCACTTGATCTTCTTTCCTACCGGTGACCACAACATTGGCGCCCAATACTGAGAACAGCTTAGCGATACCCTCCCCTATGCCGGAACTGGATCCGGTGACCAGTACTACTTTGCCCGTAAAATCGCGTGAATTCTTTGCCTGTTTGTAGATATCATTGCTTTGCGAATGAGATAAATGTGAGTTAAGTAGGAAAACACATAAAACAATTGAGATTATCTTGAAATTCATTGTGATTACAATTTGAATATAAGTTAATATTTATTTTATAAAATTCTCTACAATATAGTGGATAGTTATTTGATAAAGTGATATCCACAATATTCTAAGTTGATTGTTTATATACCAAAACATTTGATAATATTTAGTAATTATTAGTCATAATTTTAGATTTTTAACTGAAATCCTTGACCACAAAACCGGTAATTTAGGGGATAATCAATTGTAATCAGTTGAAGGCTTTCAAAGTCCACACGTTAATGCAGAGGGAGTGCAACTGTTATGTATTATGAAATACAATATATTTATAAATATTTTAAAAATTTTATTTTACTGTATATTGTCAAAAGTGTCCAATATCACTCATTGATATTTTATAGTATAAGCGAACTTGTCTTATTGTTAGCCTGTCAAAATATTGAATATGTTTAATTTCATAAAAAACAATGGGACTGACTTTTTGGCACATAAAATTATTATAAAATATTAATTTTTTATTAATTTTTTATAGAGACACTATGATAAACTATCGTTTAAATTAATAATAATTTAATAATTATAGTTTAAATCATATTTAAATAGTCCTCTCACTTTAGTCATTTACCATTATAGTCTCCATATGCCCTATCAAAGTGAGAGAGCTATTTAAATATGATTTAAACTATAATTATTAAATTATTATTAAACCAAAACAAATTATTAAAAATTTATTATTATTGCTTGAGAAGTTTATTTTGAG